TTAAGGACATCCTGTTATATATACAACAAAACCTGGCTACTCTCTGTACTGACATCTGACTTTAAGGACATCCTGTTATATATACAACAAAACCTGGCTACTCTCTGTACTAACATCTGACTTTAAGGACATCCTGCACATGTAGTACATTTGAAACTGATCTTGCATTTCTCACTTTTAAAAAAAATGAAATTGTATTAGCAGAAGTCTTGTTATATGCTTACTAATGATATGAATACCAAAAAGACATGTTTCCAATTTAGTGGGGTTGCGCCTTTATCTCCAACACGAATCTGGTTCTTCATCGTCATCCATATTGATGACTTTCTTCTTGACATTCCATCAACCTCATCTCCATCACGGTAACTGTCCTGATCTTCAGTGTTGTTTCCTGGGTCCAACTGAATGCCATTAGTTGCACATTTTGTTTCATCTTTGCTGTCCATGATTTCAGGTTACAATACAATATCCTTTTAAGTCTGCAAATAAAATGTCTTTTCTTTGTCTTTAAAATTAATATGACTTCTTCCAATCACCTGAAATCACAATTTTTAAACAAAGCATTTAAAGATTCATAGCAAATTAAAGATATTTATGAACAGTCCAGTACAAGATAAGTAAAGATGAAGCTTCGCTTCGCTTACATTCAACATCATGTTTTCAACTGCCCTCAAAATCATAATTCTTAAGCAGTCGGGAGAAAGGTAATAATGAATTACAACAACAACATTGTAAATGCCTATTCCCAATCATAACATGTTGTGACAGTCAATCGCTGTTTCTCCTCTGTTTAATTTTTTTCACAGGTGGCGGGATTGTTTGTCCTTATCATAGTGGGTGTTTTTTTGTATATCTTATCATAATTGGGTAAAGGGGCCAAGCATCTTGACACAGAAATAAAAGAATGGAAGTGATATTCGTCCTGCATGAAAAACACTATTCATGATCATGACAGTAATGATCATGATCAGCACAGGAGTCTGATCTTGCATCAATAAAATATAATGCTCAAGATGAAAAATTCCTCCCAATACTATGAAAAGAACACCCAGCATGAAGCACCATTGGGGTTTGATCTGTAAATACTTTGTCCACTTCCAAGGGCCCATATTCATGAAACCATTCTCATGCATTGTTCAAACCCAGATTCTATGCTAGCTAGTCCAGTTTCTTGTGCCAGTGATAAATTAATAAAATTACCATATTTTGTCAATGATATGTAAGAAATTTGGAGAGTTTTTAAGCCAAATACTGATTTTAAAGTATAAAATTGACTTTCTAAAACTGTGTCACACAATTAAAGCGAATTACAAGAAAGTCGGCTTGAGGACTCACAAAACTAAATCAGCCAATCAGCAAGTGTTTCATACGATTGTATTCCCTACCTAAAATTTGTTCCTGTTAAATACAGTGCCTCTGATAAATACAGTGCCTCTGAGTAATCTTGATGGGAAATTGTTGACACATTAGTTTTAGAAGATTTAAATATGTGATGGTGGATTGATATGGGGTCAAAAGTCAGGGGGTTTTCCCATACCACTTCACTGGTTTGGCTTGTAAACTTCCATTTGTTAAAAGCAGGCACATGTAGTCTAGCGCTCTTATATGCCATTAAACCTGCCAAAAAAGCCTTTTGAAGCCTTTGTGAGGTATGTATCTATGAATCTAAACAATTGTCACTAGCGTTGAACTTCAAATATTAAAGCTGTAAGCTCAAAAGCTTAGTAATAACATATATATTAAATGATTTAGTTGTGCACAGATCTAGAATGTGATTTACTTGAGCACAAAATTCATGCTTGAGCTTATGAGAAAAATTTCATAAATATGTGCCCCGATGCTTCCCCATGCATGAAAGCCTTCAGCTGATAACATTTATGGGTGAAGAACTGAAGTGAAGATATATTAAATGTTATATCTACACAAGTGCAGATATTATTCAACAAGAGGCCCGTGGGCCTTAACGGTCACCTGATATATTTATACAGAGAGTTGATTTTTGTTTTTAACATGAACAGAAATATTATTCAAAGTGACAAAAAACAATAAAACCACCTTATTCAATATCTAGCATGCAGATTTAAGACTGAAAAGTATTTGAAACTAGCACCTCTGATTCTAAACAAGGAAAATGAAGAAATTTTATTTTAGCACACGGACTCCATTGGGCCCCACTCACAGCTGTTGGGGGTAGGGATGGCTCAAAATTTTCTAAGTATCAAGCTGTCAACTTAGGGTTATAATTCCAATCAAGTTATCAACATGTAATATTCAAAGTATCATTTGCCATTATAAACCATAACAAATTTTGCCCCCCCCCCCCCCTCCTTCCCTTGGGGTAACGTGAGACCCTAGGGTAAAAAAAATCACAATTTTGTTAGAGCATCTAAAAACCCTTCCATCTATGAAGAGTATTTGATTCTACCACATCTGGTCTTGAGAAGAAGATTTTGAAATTTCAGTCAATTCGACCCTTTTTGACCCCCCCACCCATCAGCCCCGGGGGGTCAGTCAGGGCTGATATGTATCTAGGTCTTAAGAAGAAGATTTTTGAAATTTCAGTCAATTCGACCCTGGGATTGGAATTATAACCCTTTGACCTTATAACCAGAAAGCACCTTAAGACCCTTCCATCTATGAAGAGTATTTGATTCTACCATATCTGGATCTTAAGGAGAAGAAGATTTTTGAAATTTTAGTCAATTTTACCCTTTTTGGCCCCGCCCCTCAGGCCCCTGGGGGCTGGGGACCATATAATTCACAATTTTAGTTGACCTTTGTCCATGGAAGGTTTCTGCAAAATTTCATTGAAATTGGTTCAGGGGTTTTGGAGAAGAAGTCGAAAATGTAAATTGTTTACGGACGGACGACGACGGACAAAAGGCGATCGCAATAGGTCACTTGAGACTTTGTCTCAGGTGACCTAAAAACATTATGCAATCAGAACAGTACTTTTTATTCACTGCAAAGGTTTTCACAAATATTTGATAACAACCAGAAAGCTAGCTCAATGATGAAGTGTGTCTTTGTAGTAGACTTGAGAGGTGATAAACCAGGCATTAACATTTTAAAATATTCAAAGAGGAACTACTGTTGACACTAAACACCCAGAAGACAGTTGATGTTTTATCCAAAAGTGAATAATGAAATAAACTATTTGTAAAAATCACAACAGATATAAATGATGTTTTACATAAACAATGTATACTGTCTGTATCCTCTGCCTAAAAACAATTACTAAATTGTTGACATTTTATTATGCACTAACAAATGCACATTTTCTTGTCTTGAGAAAATTATAAAGTGACTTTAGTGCAACATGTGAGGATAATACATGATTGTGATGTTTAGCTCTGAACAATAGAAGAAATGCCATTAATATTGGAAGAATAAATTCAAGTGTGCAGGACAAGTGTTCCCTCGTGATTGTCAGCTGTCAGTAAGTAGACCAGTGTTCCCTCGTGGTTGTCAGTTGTCAGTAAGTAGACCAATGTTCCCTCATGGTTGTCTGTCAGTAGGTAGACCAGTGTTTCCTCATGGTTGTCTGTCAGTAAGTAGACTAGTGTTCACTCATGGTTGGCTGTCAGTAAGTAGACCAGTGTTCCCTCGTGGTTGTCAGCTGTCAGTAAGTAGACCAGTGTTCCCTGGTGGTTGTCTGTCAGTAGGTAGACCAGTGTTCCCTCGTGGTTGTCAGCTGTCAGATAGTAGACCAGTGTTCCCTCGTGGTTGTCAGCTGAGTCAGTAAGTAGACCAGTGTTCCCTCATGGTTGTCTGTCAGTAGGTAGACCAGTGTTCCCTCATGGTTGTCAGCTGTCAATAAGTAGACCAGTGTTCACTCGTGGTTGTCAGCTGTCAGTAAGTAGACCAGTGTTCCCTCGTGGTTGTCAGCTGTCAGTAAGTAGACCAGTGTTCCCATGTGGTCGTCAACTGTCAGTAAGTAGACCAGTGTTCCCTGGTGGTTGTCTGTCAGTAAGTAGACCAGTGTTCCCTCGTGGTTGTCAGCAGTCAGTAAGTGG